AACTGGATGTGCAGGTTCCAAAAATTTATTATAGAAACAACAACTCCTCTTGCCAGTATTATTACTCTGGTTGTATTTCATTATTAAATCCTGTACTACCCATCTTACATGTTCACCTTAAAACTTTTATTCTTCAGTTAGAAAAAAGAACACTATTTAGTTTCTATATCCAGTAGAATTCACCCTCATTCCACAGTGAAGTCCAAAAAGGACCATATACAGTTCCCTTCTTATGTTTCATGGGATACAGGAAGCATATTAGTATATTCAAGTTATTACAATATGGTAATATACAACAGTAACAGCAACTACTTACTGTGCACCAGGCAATGTTCTGTGCACTTTACATACACTAATTCCTAATCACCCTACGAAGCAGGCCCCCAAACTGAAGCACAGCGAGGTTATATACCTTGTATCCAACTAAGAGGGAACTGGGATTTGAACCCAGGCAGTCTGACACCAGAGTCCATGCTATCCCTCAGTTTCCTTTTGCTATGCAAACAACTAGATTTGAAAGGAATAATCAAGTACATTTTATTAAGGGTGTGTAGGTAACAGAATTGGACAATTTAGGACCAACATCTCCAGTATCACTCAATTTATAAAGAACACACAGAGACCAGAGATTAGCTGCCTTCCAAAAGTCATTGTTATTAGTACCTAGAGGTCTCTGAATTTTCAGGCTCTGTTCAACCTCACAGACTTAGAGACTGCTGAGGGCAGAATACCAGTAATACTCAGTCAGCATCAGAAGTATTTCTGAACCATATCAATATCACATGGGATAATGGTAATGAAAACCAGCCCATATTTCTTTTCTTTAAGAAGTAGTGATAGGTTTCCACATTACAATCGTATAGTATACGCTGGGGATAAAAGGCAGGTAAGAGATAAAGCTCACAGGTTAGCAGAGGGAGACAGACATGCCAAAGAAGTGACAGACTATCACAGCTACTTTACGACAGAAATCAGTACAAGGGGCAGTAGGGGGAAAAAGAATGGCACAATCAAATGATATTTCAATAATTTACAGACTTTTTTTCTAGGAGTACTGGATCTTCTCAGGCCCAATTATGTCGGAGAGAAATTCATAACTGAATGGATTTCTAGTCTTCTGAAGACCAGACAGAAGACAACCTGTAATCTCACTTCTACCACTATCTGGTTATACAACCAAAGGGCGAATACTTTACTTTCTTCCATCTGTAACATAAAGATGAATCTTTCAATTCTTCACAACTCTAAAATTCAATCAACCTTATTAAATCTATCTTAAAGAAAATGTTTTTAAAGACTATGATTCTATTAATCAATGGGACATTTAAAGATTAAAAGAGATTATTTAAAGATTAAGAGATTAAACAGGGTACTGTGGACAACTAACCATCAAGTAACAAAAATGAACTGTCAAAAATTTCAAATAATTAAATACACAAACCACAAATATAACTAATCAATTCTTAAGTTCAGAAGACTTCAGAGTTTTATAGAGTTCTGGGAATAACTTGTATTTATATGCTGTTTTACAGTATGGCGCTCTGGTGGTATAGTGCCTAAGGTATTTGACTGCTAACCAGAAGGCTGGCAGTTCAAACCTACCAGCCACTCCTTGGAAGGAAGATTAGGCAATCTACTTCCGTAGAGATAGCGCCTTGGAAACCCAAGGAGGGGTTGCTATGAGTCAAACTGACTCGACGGCAGTTGAGTTTTGTTTTTTAAATACAGTAGAGCAAACATATGGTCCATTCAGTACTGAAGTTATTTGAACTTTCTGGTTGCTGGATTGTGGAAAAGCAAGTATTAACGAACTGCTCATATGCTCAGTTTTATAAATTTTTCATGTCAAATACAGTGTAGGGGAAAGAACATTTACGTTTTAGAAAAAGTTTTGAATCAGTATCTGATACGTAACTTTGAGCAAGTTTCTTAATCTCAGGAGGTTTTTGCTATTTTCATCTATAAAATGAGAACAATCCCACCACCTTTCAGCAGGTAGTTGTGGAGGTTTATGAGTTAATAACCAGAAAGGTCCATCAGAACAGAGCACACACGGCTCAAGTTTAACAAATGAGGTTCACTTCCCACTTTTTGAAAGAGCAGTTAAATAAATGGTACCCAAACCTAAGAGCTATACTCCTAAATAATCTTTAAATCTGAAAAAGAAAAACCAATCTTAGATGTTGTAATTAAGGTAGAAATCCATGCTTTTGTATAAATGGAAAAAATAGAAACATCACACAAATATTAATTGGTAAATTTCACAAAAGTCCTTAAGAAATTATTCAAAAGTTTGCAAGTTAGTTCTTTAATTTTGTTCTTCCCTCCTAATGTCATTTAGGGATGATGTTCTTATAAATATACAAACCATCTTAGCAACACAATCTAATATTCCACTTGTACTAGTAACACAGGTCTTGTTTATATGCTAGGCTGCTCTTCACTCAATCAGATAGTAGTTCAAAGAAAGTAGGATTTGATTTTAACAAAATTAGAGCAAATACATTGATTTTAGCTCTACAGTTATAAACGATGCCACCCAAAACCGTGGCAAATTATTTCACTAATCAAATGCACTAAACAACTGAATTTTCCTTCATACCAAGGGTGTGGAGATTACTGTACTACAAAAGATGAATGCTATAAAAGAGCCTAGCGTATTATCACATTTACCTATTGTACCTATAAAATAACATGAGCCATTAAATAAAGGCTTCAGTGTCACACTGTCCCTCTTTTCCTTAAGAGCCAAAATAAAATTTTAGTCTGATTCACTGCAAATATGCCTTTCAGACAATTGCTTTTAAGTATTTTACTTTCACTAATGTCTAAATATGCCTTTCCCGCCTATCAAAGTCACTATTTTCTGAATGTAGATTAAAAATCTCATTAACAAGGCAATGTTCCTTTCCTTCTGACTGCCACTTTTCCTTAGGTTTTTAAGTTTCAGGTCCCATTCCATTCCCTCCTCCTCAGACATTTGTGAGGGCAGGAATGGTTTTAAATGCCACTTAACTTTGTAAGATAGACAACAGTGAATGATGAAGCTATACAACCAAGATGGATCCATGCTTTATGAACACATTACTCTCACACATCTGGGAGATAAGTATGATACACAAGATCCTTAAGTTCATTTTACAGATTATGAAACCATGTTGTTTAAAAGGTGAATTCTGAAACCATGGTTGGTATAGCAAATGAATATATCAAAACAAACAAAAAATTCATCCAAATATTTACATTTTAAAAAGATATTAAAAAAATAGAGGCTACTTATAAGTGTGCTTGAACAAACCATGTGTGGAATTGAATTCCATTCATTATGGAGTTAGTTTCTGCTAAATACTTATTGATGCTACAGTAGACCCCTGGCATCTGTGGATTTAAGAGTGTTCAACTGTGCGCAATCTATACCTTAAAAATAAAAAATAAAAATAAAAAAAGAGAGCACGAGCATGAGAAACTCTGTCTGAGGCACAAATTTGAACCTCAGAGGTGGAAGGGCTGGTATGTAAGACCCACAGAGGAGAAGGGCTGGCTGGCATCTGTAACTTAGGGTGGCTTTGCCACTGCCTACTCGCTACCAGGTATTCAATAAAAACTCTCTAGAGGGCATTTACATTTTGCAATTATACCTCTCTGCATTATTATGCTCTAGTAGTTTCACCGATTTGAACATCTAAAAATATTTTAGAATGTATTTCTCAAGAAAGTGGAGGGTCTCTTAAATTACATTAAACAACAAGCCATGCAATTTCTTAAGAGCTCATAAAGCTTTTTCAAAATGAACTACTGATCATACAACCCAATTAAAAACTCAAACAGTTCAACATTACAGCTATAGAAAGTTTATAGTCTAGCAATGTCTATATAGGTAATATGACGTTTTTGCCCCTCCTTGCAAAGTGATTAAGAACTATAGAACTTCTATTCTACTGTCATTGGCTCTGGCTCAGATAGGTGGGGATTATACTGAGAAGGAGAATAAAGACAGGTCAGGAATTAAACAGACACAAACATTTCATTTATCATTTCCTTACAAAATATATATGAGAGAATATTATATATATGATATATGGCTTAAAGAGAGAGGGAAAAAGCCTCTTATTTGTCCTTATTATTTTATACCACCCTTTGTTTAGGGTAAACTTAAGTCACTACCTAAAGACCAGACAGTACATAACAACAACAACAAAGCAAGAGTAACTCTAAGAGGATTTTATGGAGTCCAATTTAATTCTGGTACTGAGAATCTTAAGTGCTCACATTTGGAGAATTTCTTAGATGAACTAGAAAAGTTCATGACATAAACAAGATTCATAAACAATTGGTTAGCCAATAAAAAAAATCAAAGTCATTTCCTTTATAGATCAGAATTATTTGGAAAACATCTCTAGCCCTGTAACTGGACTTTATGCTTAGTCTGTAGACTAACACAATTCTTTTAAAAAGCAAGGAAGTTTTTACTAAGGAGAGAAAAACTGTCTCTTTAAAAAAACACTGAATAGGTCTAAAAATTATTGCAGAGCTAAGCCTCGGTCAGAAACAGAACAAAGGACAACACAACAACTCAGTTTGCAGAGGTGCTACTTTCTGTTTGTTAAAAAAGAAGAGTGGTGGCGTTTTAGGTATCACTCAGCAGAATTTTCATGTTTCATAATTTTGTTGCTAATGGTCCCAAAATTCTGTGAGCTCATTTGAGAGGTTTTCCCAATGTGTGCATTATAGTCAATAGGAGCAAAATACCAAAAAAAATCCTATGGCTAAAAACCAGTTATTCCTGTTTGTGCCTTTAGAATACTACTTGCAAAACAGCAACAATGACAACAAAATGCTAATTTGTGCCATCAATGGGGATTTGAACTGTTCTAAAGAATTATTATTTAAAAAAAAAAAAAACAAGTTTAAACCATAACATCTGTAATCACATTGGGCAAACAAGTCAATGAGTTTAGGGGGAGAGGCAGTATCAATAAGGACGAGACAACAGCATCATATTTAGTATTCTAAAAGCATGCTTCAGGTAGTTCAACAATGATTCTGGTAAGACCAACTGCTCACATACATACACACGCACACACATAGACTTTAATGGTTTTAAAAAAAAAACCAAATTTGTTACTTTAGAAAAACGAATGCAGTGCACTTTCAGCAATATTATCGCCACAGACTCTGATTGCTCAGTCCACACATAAGTAGTAGGTGCCTTCTATGGTGATATGGCTTCTCTGCATTAATTCCCATCAGGCCGAAAAACATTAGAGCAGGTTAAGTAAAGACCGAATTGTTGCACAAAGGAACATTTACTCATCAGATCCCACTGATCTCTTCTGTGCCCGTTTCCTGGGCAACCTTCTTGGTGAAGCTTTATCTGGAAAGAAAAGAGAAAGTTTTAAGTTTGCCTCACTATTGTAAGTACGTGAGATTCAAAAGATACTTAAAGTATTTCTTTCCACTTACCATCAAGTGAAAAACACACACACTCACACTCAAGAATATCTAATAATAAGCGCTTCTTATCTAGCTGTAAGTTTTAAAAATAATCTTTAAAACAATCCTTTAAAAGGTAACCACAATTTAGATAAATCAGTTTTGTAAGAGGATGGAGACAGATCTAATCCTGATTACTGTAATGTTGAAGACACCATGTAAAAATGTCTTTAATTCTACAATTTACCTATTTATGCAGGTGTAAGTTAACTTTTAAAATTAGTTTAAAAGGTATGGTTTGAAGCTTAAAAAATTTGTTAGTTACAAATTAAGAGAGTCAATATTTACAAATGCAGTCATGCGGTTTGCATAATTTTTGGCAATTTCATAAATTTACCTAGAATAACCAGAATAAAGGAAATGAGACATTATTTCACTACTGAAACCATCCTATGTACATAAGCAATAGTCTTTTTACTTCTTTCCTTTTATTGTCTACGTTAGATTCTTAGCGTGGTCTATTTAGCAGAAACAATCAGTTTTTCTCCTTTTATTCAAGATGAGGAGCCATCTGTAAGTTTCACTAAAATGTGAAGGACTGGAAGAAGATGGTTTCACTAAAGTATGGGGTTCATTTGTAAACACTCCATGAGTAATGACATGAAAGAGAAAAAAGCTGACCATCTTTATTTTTCAAAATTATATCATCACAGTTATATTTTTAAAAAGTATACAATGTGTGAACTGCTATATAGAAAGTGAATTTGCTCTGTAAACTTTCACCCAAATCACAATGAAAAAAAAAAAAGTATACAGTAAATGTTTACTAAAAATATTTGGAGCATAAAAATTCTGCTTAAAAGAACACACTCATCCTTCAATTATCAACATGGTTAGGTTCCACAGATCAGATCATTCTGTGAAAACTGGCATTATGTGAAAATGGTGGATGACCATATCAGATCACAAAATGGAGGATGACTATATCATTATATAACTGTGAAACCACTGAGAATCATGGTCCAGCCAAACTGATGTACAACTTTATCCATCACAGCCAGCAGCATTACTCTTGCCTCTTACCTCAGCATTCATTACTGCCAGAGGTACTTTGTTAATGCATAAAATACTTATTTTTTCACTATTGTAAATGCAAAATGTTGGATAACAAGATAATCAAGAAGTGAAGAATAAATGCAGTCTAAGTTAGTGAGAGTCTGTAAATCACATAAAAACTGACTTGAGTATACTATTAAATAGTTCAGTAATAGGTTTTAGGGTTTCTTAAACTTGACTAAGGAGCTCTGGTAGCATAGTGCCTAAGGCACTTGACTGCTAACCAGAAGGCTGGCAGTTTAAACCTTGTAAGGAAGGGTGGCCAATCTACTTCCATAGTGATACCACCTTGGAAACCCAAGGAGGGGTCACTATGAGTCGGGTCTGACTTGACAGCACGTAACAACAACAACAAACTTGACTAAAACAAAGTAGGAAAGTTTGAGCAAAGGTGTACTTTTACCATTAAGAAAGCCTTTAACTTTCATTAGATTTTCAAAAAGTTTACTTAAAAAAGGCTAAGCTAAGAACTGCTGCTGCCCTTACTCAATTGACCAATTAAAGGAAAAAAAAAAAAAAAAAAAAAAGCAATATGCGGAATATAATCTCCCCTTTGAGGGTTAAAAAGATACTTTAGAATCAAGGAGTCATCTGTATATACATTAAGTGTGAGCAAGTAGATGTGAAGTGGTGATGACTGACTTTTAACAATTTCAATCACCTGCAAAAAAGCTTTAAAGAAGTAAACACATGAAAAAGGGGCTCTGAGGACCTGCAATGCCCATTTCAACATACACTTAGGCAGCCAATGCAGCTTACTTCAACAATGAATCTAAAACCCTTAATCATCTGGTCTTCAGCACTTCAAGAAGGAGACAAAAGAAAACAGAATAAGGTAGCATTTTGTGACCATTCAGCTTTTGGGAAAATGGCTCAAGTACCAAATAGCGAAAGCAGCATTGCATCTCAGCAAAGAACAATAACTGATGTGTATAATTATGCTTTTCAGCAATCAAAAAAAAAAAAAAAAAAACAATCTCCCACCTATCACTTCCCCTCAAACAAAAGCAACTGGATGGAAAAAAACCCAACAAATTATTCAACATCAAAAAACAGTTTGGCTTTTTAAAAGGATTGACTAAGGGATGCCTGACTCAAACCATGTTATTTTTAGTTGCCTCATATGCATGTGAGCACCAGACAATGAATAAGGCAGACAGCAGAACTGATGCATTTGAATTGTGGTGCTGGCGAAGAATATCGAATGTACCATGGACCACTAGAATGAACAAATCTGTCTTGGAGGAAGTACAGCAGGAATGCTCCATAGAAGCAAGAACAGCCAGACTTCATCTCTCATACTTTGGTTGTGTTGTCAAAAGGGAAAAGGATATCAGCTGGTAAAGTAGAGGGTCAGCAAAAAAGGGGAAGGCTCTCAATGAGCTGGATTGACTCAGGGGCTGTGATGATGGGCTCAAGCATGGCAATGGCTGTGAGGATAGCACAAAGTAGGACTGCGCAGTGTTTAGTTCTGTTGTATATACACAGGGTTGCTGTGAGTCAGAACTGACTTGAATGTAATAATAACAAGCTCAAATTGTGTCAAACCACTTCTTTTTTCCTTATATTCTGATGAGTGAGACAGATGAGAAAGCTCTTGGTAAATTAAATAGTATGCCTTTTAAACATTCTACGTAGTCATTACACCAGCCCTCTTCAATGCTAATTCCTCCAAACTTGGAGCCTCTGCTTCCATGCACACTTCCTGCTCCATGATCTTCAAAACTACCTCTTGGTTTCTCAATTTTCCCCTCAATTATGCAACATACACATCACATCTTCCAAAGACAGTAACTACTTCTTCCTAAGTCACCAGCAACTCAGCTCAACTCCTTTACTTTAAGAAAACCGTGTCTTAAGACAATGGTTCTCAGAAGTGTCTCAAACCAGCAGCACCAAGACAGTCTAAGAACTTGTTTGAAATGAAAATTCTTGGGTCCCAGTGAATCAGAATCTAGTGGTGGGGACCCAGCAATTTGTGTTTAAGAAGCATTCCAGGTGATTCTAATGCTAACATTTAAGAACCACTGCTTCAAGAAAACAACTATAAGAATGTAATTATACAAGATACAAAATCAGGCAAAAACTTAATGTTCAAGGTGAACTGAAAATATAAATACAAATTCATGATTTAAAAAAATATGTATTTTCTATCTCATTTCAAAGGAAGGGCCTAGAAACAATGTTACCCACTATCAATGACCTCCCTAGAGTCTAGATTTTAGTTTCTAATATCATCCAGAGAGCCTTGGAGAATTGGTTAACTCCATGTTTAACGCAGAGAAGGTGGAAATGAGATTGGATTATTTTGCTGAGTCAGGAAGTCAGGGATCACTCAAAGATCAAAGGGACAAGATCCAGATACTTCAAAAGGGTTCCCAGTAGCCAAAACTGTAACAATTTAAGCATCAAAATATACTTGACTGAAACATACCGACTCTATAAAAATCAGAGTTTACACGATTATTATAAAACAAAGGAAAAAACTCATTTGTCACCTTGCAGCTAGCTTTTAATACAATTCTTTACTTACAACTTCTAAACTGCAGAGGAAAGACCTAACTTAGCCATAAAAAGATTATGTGGTTACTATTCTCATCTAGGGCTAATGATGGGACAAGGAGCTCTGATGGCACAAAAGTTAAGCACTTGGATGCTGACAGGTTGACAGTTTGAACCCACCCAATGGTTCTGTGGTAGAAAGACTTGGCAATCTGCTCCTGCAAATAATAAAACAAAACAAAACCAAACTTCCTGCCACTGAATCAATCCTGTCTCTTAGCAACCGTATGGGACAGACTACAACTGTCCCAAAGAGTTTCCAAGGCTGAAATCCTTATGGAAGCAGACTGCCACATCTTCCTTCTGCAGAGAGACTGGTGGGTTTAAACTGCCAACCTTTCAGTTAGCAGCCAAGTGCTTAACCACTGCCACCAGTGCTCCTTGTAGGGACTCATTACTTCACAATGAATTACCCATCAATTCCTTGTCTTTGCTTGCGTGTGTGTACAACCATGAATGCATCCTGCAGAAAATACACCTTTTTCTAATTTGTACAAAAGGCCACATACTGTGTTAGTGGGGATCCTGGAAACTTGGATTTTTTTTTTTTTTTGCTGCCTACAAAATGCTATGGGACAGTTCTATTCTGCCACATGGGATCAACATAAGTCAAAATAGACCTAACAACAATCTGATACTGTTTCTTGATGTAATGCAGGAAGAAACAGTGATCATCTACGACGTACACAGTTAGCTCAAAATGATTAACTCAAATCCAATCAAGTCTACATATTCAATTTTGAAATTTTAGCTAAAAGACATCAGGCAATAACAATCAGACAAATCCAGGTGGGACTTTTTAGTCTTTTTACTCCATAGGCTCCAAGGACCAAGGGGAGCCAATGAGAAATGTAGAGTCTCAGACTCCACCTCAGAGCCAATGAATCCCCAACTTGCAGTTTAACAAAATTTCTAAGTGATCTGTACACACATTAAAGTTTGAGAAGCACTTTTTTCCCAGGACAAGTGGTCCATCATCTCTTGAGCTGTTATTAATTAAAACAGACTTAAGAGCTATAACTAAATGCAATGCATCATCCTGTGTTGGGTCTTGGTTTGGACAATTAGTTGGTAAAAGGCATTTTTGAAATACCTGGAGAAATTTTAACATGGACTTACTATAATTAATAAACCTTTGTGAGTCGTAATGTTGTTTCAGTTGATTATGCAAATGTTACTTCTTTCCAAACTGAAGTATTTTGAGGGTAGTATGTCATTATATTAAAATATCTGAGCATTAAGAAAGTTCAATAAATTACTCTGTATATAAAAGAGACAGCTATAGTCTCAAAGAACAAATAAACATGTTTATGCCAACACTTATTTTTTTTCACAACTTTCATTCTCTAGCCCTGACTTGTCTGAAATACTCTCTCAGGACTCCTCTGGATTTTGCAAGATGAGAATCCATCTAGTAGTTAGCAGGGAGAAAGGAGTGTGGTTGCATGTGAGTGTGTTGCATGTCTTCCAGCTATTTCAAATTTCCAAAAACAATGAGCAAATCTCAAAGATAAACTTACAGAAGATAAGGCAGAAAGTTCCTTGAATTTGGTAAAATTTTAGTATTTTAATTGGATAATTCTGATTAGCTCATGCTGTTCAGAAGCTCTATTACCTTGTCAAATTTTCAAAACAAGGATTTCTTTAATAAGGAAAAGAGAAGGAATAATAAAAGGGTCTCTGGTGGTAAGATTAGTATTCATGGTTCCAGAACAAACTCAGACTTCACTATCAGATTTTCAGCAAGGTAAAATGTTAAAAAAAATGTTTAGTGACTTTAATTCTACCCAGTTTTAAGTATTAAGTGTCAATTCTTTGGCATGATGTACAGAAAAACACATGGACTTATAGAATGAGACAAACCTTGTTATAAACCCTGGCAGGTTACTAACTTTTTCTGAGGAGGAATTTTCTCAGCAGTAAACAGTCAGCAACTTACCTTGCAAGTGAATGCTGAGTACATAGAAGGCATCCACCATGTGTTAAATTCCTTCCTTCCAGAACACCTCTCCTGACTCTATAGGATCCCTTTTCCGTATTAAGTTGTCTATAATACTCATTTTAGCACATAATCATATAATGTCTCTATCAACTATTTCATAAATGTGCTTTATTTCTGTAAGTTGAAATGTAAATTCCTGAGAAAACAGTAATACTCTAAATGACTTTTAACATACCACTCAGAACCTAGCACAGTATTATGACATAGTACTCATTATCTCCAAACTGAAAAACACAATTACATATGATTTGAATTTTGCTCTATAAAATGTATTAATTCTCAGCTTTTTTTCACAGATGACAATGTCAGTGAGATGTTGTTGTTGTTAGGTGCCATCGAGTTGGCTCCGACTCATAGTGACCCTATGTACAACAGAACGAACCACTGCCCAGTCCTGTGCCAGCCTCACAATCCTTGCTATATCTGAGCCCATTAATGGCAGCCACATGTCAATCCCCTCACAGAGTGCCTTCCCCTTTTTTGATGACCCTCCACTTTACCAAGCATGATATCCTTCTCCAGGGAATGGTCTCTACTGACAACATGACCAAAGCAGGTGAGACAAAGTTTAGCCATTCTCGCTTCCAAGGAGCATTCTGGCTCAACTTCTTCCAGGGCAGATTTGTTCGTTCTTCTGGCAGTCCATGGCACCTTCAAGTATTCTTCAACAACACCACAACTCAAAAGCATCAACTCTTCTTCAGTCTTCCTTATTCATCGTCCATCTTTCACATGCATATGAGGTAATTGAAAATACCAAGGCTTGAGTTAGGCTCACCTTAGCCTTCAAAGAGACAAGTTTGCTCTTCAGCACTTTAAAGAAGTCTTTGAAGAGGAGAGGTTGGCGGCTAGGTGCTGTTGAGTCAGCTCCAACTCATAGTGACTCTATGTACCACAGAACAAAACACTGCTCGGTCCTGAGCCAGCCTCACAATCCTTGCTACACAATGAGCCTATCATTGCAGCCATTGTGTCAATCCACCTATAATCCATCAATGTATCTGTCACGTAAGAATTCTTTCAAAAGGGTAACTCCATCAATAATGTTGTGACTTCAGTTTTTAATTTTAATGTTTTTATTTTTAGTAGAATAGCACTAATTCTACATATGACATTTAAAATATAACTATTTCTGAATAACTTGTATTGTAAATACACCCTAAATTTCTTAACAAATTCTGGTGAACTGTAAATAGGCCATGGTCTACAACCCAGTATTATTTTTTGCTATGCTATCAGGACATTAAGAGGAATTTGTCCTTCCAGAACAAGACAATTCACTCCCATGACTTCAGCTATGACCACCTATGTTACATATCCCAACACCTTCCAAATCTTAACTCACTTGTGCTCTAAAATGGAACTTTCATGCTTACTGAATAGCATTATCTATTCATCCATAGACTCCACATGTTTGATACACCTCTCTTCAGCTGTATGTGCTCCCTGTCCTGTTTTCACCAACATATTAATGGTGTATTATCTTCCACCCAGTGGCCTAAGCTCAGACTACATTTCAGTCAAAAAAAAATTATCTAAAGTTCTATCTACTCCACTTCTCAAACATCTTTCCACCCTTTTTAATCCCATCCCTAATGCCTTACTGAGACCCCAATGATTTCTCATGTGTTTTACTGCAATCATTCATCTGGTATCCCTGCTTCCAGCAGCTCTTCCTTGCCAGCCATCAAAACTTTTTCTTTACACAACAAATTTGTTATTTCTCTGCTTTAAAGTGTCTAGTGACTCCATTTTATCTAGAATGTAAGTCAACAGTGGTTAGCCTAGCACACAAAACTTTGAAAACTCCTTACTGCCAACCTTTCTCTATGTAAACTTCTCCTATGAATGCTTTCCAAGTTCTCCTAAAGGGAGAAGGAGGTCCTTCCTATGCTCTCATTACTCTGTCACTACTTGTAATAAAGCCCTGCCATACTGTAATTATGCTTCAATAATGAGAGCCCACAGGAAGCAATTAAAAAAACAATATTCAATTAAAAAAAAAAATTCCAACCTCACTTTTAAATAAATATACCTTAAAATCAATGAAATGCTATTTTCCATGTATTATACTGATTAAAACATTTGATAATACTAAAGTTTTCAGTGACAGTGGAGAAGCAATACTGTACATTTTTAAGAACACAAATTGGCACTATCTTTTGGGAGGGAAACATTTTTCACAAAAGTTAAATGCACACAATTTTCTACCTAGGTATTTCACTTTTAAGAACATTTCCTATAATTCATATATAAAAATATTATAATTTGTAACCGTAAAAAGCTGAAAATAACTTTATCCTTTGATATAGAATGGATTTAATGTATCAGGACATTTATAAACGAATACTAGGTAACTACTAAAAAGAATGAAATAAAGATATATGTACCTAGCATAAAGAAATCCAAAGTATGAAAAATCAAGTACATATAGTATGATCCTATTTGTGTAAAACACTCACAAAGAAACCACAGACATATATGCTTTTATATGTATAGAAAATACCTGGAATAGTTCTTTTACAATTAGAAGATTAATATTTTAACTAATTATATAGGTAATAAAACTGAAATATATCTGGTAGGTATTATTTCAGGTGTATTCTTTCATGCTGAAATGAGTAATTAGTTTTTCCAGTAAATGTATTATCAGAAAACCATTCCACCACTCATTAAACGTGCCATATTCACATGCTACACAAGAACCCCCAATACTGTGGCAAATACCATTAAAAAAGTTAATTGTCTCACCTCTTCTACTCTGCACTGATGCAAAAGGAAAGAAAAGAGACAGAAAAAAGATTAGGAAGATAGAGAATTCACACGTTTGTACCTAAAGTGCAGACTGGAAGCATTCTAAATTAAAGTATAAAAAAATACTACAGAGTTTAAGTCTTTAAAAATCTTCATAATCATTATATTAGATTCTATAGAAGTAATGACAGATGAGTTTCAAATGGCATTGACCAAATGTTTTTTGCTAAATGTAAGTTATTAAGAGAAAAATGTCCCAGCAAGGTTTTAACAGTACTTACTGATCTGATTCAAAGTTTCCTGAGGAATCCAACTCATATCAACATCATTCTGATTTGACGTACCCATCTCTACTTTCTGTATGGGTCTCTTGCGCTAAAAGAACATGAACACATATTTCAAAAGATTCCCATTATAATAATTATTATAACGATATTTAATTGATCTTAGCAAATAAAAATATTCTCTTTTCTAGTGTTAGAACATATTCTTATGCAAATATTTTATTAATTAGAGGGGGGAAAAATCACATTTAGCACCATCTCTAAAGAACAGAATAATCTTCACAACAATTATCTATTCTCAGGCTTTATGGATCTTTTCCTTTGCTGTAAAGCTTCATATGTTATACAACTGGTGAACAAAATAAGAAATTCTATTTATACAAATTTTTATTTATACAGTACTTCTATTTCCCTTAGGAAATCAAATTTAATCAAAAATTTAATTTATTTTCACATTCAACAAAATTAGGATAATTACTAAAATGCTTCAAGAAGACAGTTTCCGCACTATTAGCTGAATACATTTGAAAAACTGGCCTAGACAAAGCAAAAACATAAAAATTCATTTACGTTAATCACCTCAAATTTTCTCCCCAGCTATTTGTTGCAGAAATGCTAGAAAGTAAAAAAGTGATTCAATTCCATTCTTTAGCCCCCCCTTAAAAACAAATACCCCTAAAGCTATCTATATAAGAAAGAAAGAATTAATTATATAATCCACAAAATTAGATTGTGAATACACATAAAGGTAACCCCGAACTGGCTTCATTCAAATGGGAAAAAACTGGTGATGCATTTGTAGCCAATACACAGTTATAGCAAAAATGCGATTATGAAAATGGGGCAAAGAAAGTCACTGAAATGAACACTTAGGCACTAAGTATTTCTGTTTTAGAAAGAAAGTGCCTATTAATAACACTTATAAGAAATGAAGTGTTCACTGATAAAATAAATGCAGCCAAATTCTTTTTTAAACGAAAAGACTTTAATTATCATCTCTATAGTTTAAAGTTAACTCTACAATATTAAAGCAAATATACTAAAAGCTAAGTTGCTTTTACATAAAATAACATATCCATGGGAAAAATATAGTAAATAGAAAAATAAAATGTGAATTTGAGTTTCATCTTCAGGTTTCTTTTAAAAAGAAATACACAAACTCAGAGCACTCATCTATAATTACCTTTCTAGATTCTAGGAGTTGATGAAGGCCAACAAAAACCAGTAGCCCAAGACCAGCGAGGAACATATACATAAAGATTCTGATATAAAAAAAGAAAATTTAATTTGCTTTAAGTAATAGGAAATATCATAGCTAATTACAACTATAATTCTAACACATGATATAAGCTTTCTAAATAACTTGTGGGGAAAAACGATATAAAGTATTTTTTAAAAAATTGAACGTAGATTCAGGTAGTAATTTTGTATAAGTTTCCTTTACTTTAGCTTTAAGAATAATCAGTAAACAAATATCCATTCTATGATCTAAAATGAATCACTTCATAAATTATGTTAAACTCAAGGTTCACAAACAGTTTAATATTGCTGCATTAGGTTTCTCTCCTTCAAATATCAGAATATTAATTTTTCACAATTTAACAATCACTTTAGATGTAGGTATGTAGTAATCAATGGGTCATCATTTATAATATAAACTTCTGCAAAGAACATTAATATTTCTCAAGATAAAATCTTCTAATTTGTTTTCAGCAGCAATCTTAGAGGCATATAACTTAGCTTAAGCTAGTGAGTGGTCAGTTTGCAAGCATGGGGCAGAAAAGAACACAAAAAAGAACAACAGAAAGTCCACTACTTTTAAAAAAATTTTTGTCTCTCGTAACTGTCTTTCTTAACATTGCCGTGTATTAATAGTTATAAGAATCATCTAAAGTACAGATGCATAGTCAGAATTTCGTTAAATTTACAGTCATACAATTTTCACCATTTAAAAAATGTTGACAGGAGTAAGCCTTATGAACTTTATAAGGAATAGCCTTGTAAAATGAGCATCTACATAATACTGCCACTTCTACTTACGTTTCTCCATCTAACCCATCCTCTCTTTCAATTATTGTAACTGTTTGATTGAAGACAGCATCTTGGAATACATTGCCCTGTTCAAAAGGAAAAAAAAAAAATCTGAAATACATTGAAAAAAAATTAAAGCTGATAAAATTTCTTAAAACCAATTCCCTAACAGATAGATAATACAGTTTTCTCATCACTTAGGAAGTAAGACTCACCAAAATATATAACTGTACTACTCAATATCAGGGACTCAACATTAACATGTTATCTTCTCCTACAAAATAAAAACGCCTCCAACTCTACCAAAGCTGTTCTCCACTTTCTTTTGGGGAAGGGTGGGCAGATGGTGTGAGAAACCAGAGAAATAAGAGTAAAAATGAGAAACACTAGCTTCTATTGCTTGCAAATAGGGAAAATATCATGAAAATGCTACAGCAGCACATCATTCCAAGAACCAAACCTGAACAAAAGTTAAATTCATGCTCTTAATTGACAACAGATGAAAATTAATTTCTTTGACATAAATGGATCAGTGATTTTCAGGATCTACCAAATATTTTTTTGTTGTGATCTTTTATCAGTCAGAAACGATACTGTTAGCTCAATCTCATTTCACTATCACTATACAGCTAGCTAGCTATTCTGAGTGTTTTGATGCTTCACACACACAAAGTAGTGCTTTTTTAAAATTGTCATCTATTGCTAGACTTTAATTTTAAGTTTCACTTTAAGACAACTCAATTTGCATCCCTCTACTCAGACAACTCCAGGAATCAGAACACAGATGAAAATAACAATCAAAATGGAACTGAAACTATATACATGCCTGTTGGATTAACTTTAGTTCTACTTGAAAACCAGATGGAATGTCAAGTTATTTAACTGCAAAGCTAAGGATGCTTAATACATTATTTTGAAGATAGGAATGATGAAAAACCCTTCCTTTCCTCTACTAAGTAAATGGCGGGGGGAGATAAAACCAATTGCATCAAGAGAAATTTAACTCAGATATAAGGAAGACATATTAACACTGGGGTCATAATGAATAGGTTGAATAAGCTTCTGAGAGAGAATGAAATTTCCTTCCCTGAAAAATTTTTGAAAAGGGAATGATATGAATGTGTTCTCATCGGAAGGAAGCTAGACTAGTTGGCATCAAAAGGTCAACTTCCAGCAATAAAATTCTAGCGTGTTTCTCTCATTCACTTATTCATTCATTCACTGGATATATAATATACACAGCAAAGATCATCAGAATGACACCAGAACTTGTATTAGGCCATTTGGTTCCCATAAATTAAAAATAAACAATTAACCTTGCATTGAAACTACCTTAAACACATTTAATTATATTTTATCTATGAGTACATCAAATGATGAAACAGTTCCAGAAAGTTACTAAAATTTAAAAATACCAAAACAAAAACCTATTGCCATCAAACCAAGTGCAACTTGTCGTGACCCTATAGGACAGAGTAGAACTACCCCACAAGGTTTCTAAGGCTGTAAATCTTTATGGGAACAGATCAACACATCTTTCTCTGGGGGGGCAGCTGGCAGGTTCAAACCACTGACCTTCTGGTTAGCAGGAAAGCCCTTAACCACTATGCCAGTAGGGCTCCCAACTTACAAACAGAAGCATTAAAATGGGCAAAAATGCATGCCACAAATGGAAGTATGAACCAAATCACTTAACATGCATTAACTGAAAAAGGAATAGAACCCATTGTGATTTACCGCTTCTTTTCCTTTTAAGACCCAGCTTAAGGCATAGTATAGCACTGCACATCCATCTCCAGCCTATCTCACTTATCAATCTGTGATAGTGGCTATTTATGTCCATCTCCTCCAAAGGATTACAGAACCAAAGACAGAGATATGTATCTGTAATTTATCTTTGCCTCCTGGGTGCCTATCATAGTTTCAACTACAAAACAGGTACTTGAATGAACAAATATAGGGATATTATAAAGCAATGTTAATTTTCCCCAGCCATCTCACTCTCTTTAAATAAATGAAGGTTTAGAGGGTCTTACATTCAAATCTTTGTAGTTCAGATTGATGACAAGACCAAAGGGTCGCCCACCCATGGGCTCTGCAGGAATGAAGGAGTACTCAAAAGTTGCCTGTCTCTGGGGTGGCACTACAGTGTTCAGAGGAAGAGCTGTGAAATTCTGGATATAAAACTGGTAGTCCTGAGGATAACGGAATGAGGCATCTAGGGATTCAACAATAAAGTCTTCTGTACCCTTGTTTGTAAAGCCTACCAGGAACTTCACAATGTTATTTGCTGGAAAATCTAAGAAACAAAATAGAGACATAAAAATTAGAAAACATGCAAAGGGTACAAAACAAAAAGTAGGCATTATTAGTGGATTATGGTACCTTTTCTTGCTGAGTATCGCCTCTTTTTTCAGAACCCCCATCATGAGAACACTCATGAGTCATCTAACACTAGTAACTAGTAACTGATTGGAGCTGGTTCTAAGCAGAAACTTTTTTGCCTGTACTTTATCTAGTATCCCAACTTCAAAGTTCAACTGAGCATCTCAATTTCAGACTAGATCATATCCAAATTATGTGATTTAAGGAGGAGTTGTATTATCTCTACTAGCAAGATTATCATGAATTAGAGCTACACAGCTTAGTGATGTCATCTTCCCCTTCAAGTCACTATCTGCTACCTGTGCAGATAATGGAGAAAAGAATGACAGAAAGATAAAGTCTATTTAAGAGGTTACTTGACTCTATCTGAAAGTGTAGTATTCACTGTCATATGAAGTCAATCAGGCAATACCTATATACTTTTAACTAATTAGCCAAAATGCAAATTTGAAGGTAAGACCCAAGCAGGCAGCTACAAAAAATAGAAAAAAATCTTTTAGTCAAAGCACACTTTTTGTACGTGTAACGCTGGAAAGTATGTAGGAATAAAACTGAAAATTGAGAAAATCAAGAAAATTAACAACTTTAAATATTAAGTCTTCAGCAACTATACTATACTCTACAAAGCTGAGTTTCACCCAGTCTGCCTCACAGGTTTTAGGGTTAAACAAATCTGGGTCTGAACCTTATCTTCACAAACTATTCACTGACTAGGTAACCCTGGATAAATTCTGTAACCTCTCTAAACCCTTATTTCTGTATCTATAAAATGTGAGTAACAACAGTAACAACGTTCACAGGGTTACTGCTAAGATTGAATAAAATAATACAAGCCAAAATTTGAATATAGTTGCTGGCATATTGCCCTCAATAAATATAACCCCTTCTATTTATTTTCTTTTAATGAGATCAAATGCTAGATTTAATATTTCACTTATGTTTAACATTAAAACTATGATAAAGTTGCTTTGCTGCAGCAGTTTGAAAAACATTTAAGAACAATTTTGTTAAAGAAATTTCTAGTTAAATGGGGCCCTATTTACTTTTCTCCTTAGTTTGAATACCGGGAACATTACCTCGCATAAAACACCTGTTCTTGCTATACTTATTAGGTAAAAGAAGAAAATTAGTAAAGATCTTAAGCATTACCAATATTGCCCCAAAAGTGAATTTGTCATTTTTAATTCTGTTATCTGACTTAAAATGATTATTTCTGTATTACCTTCTCCTTTTACAAACAGAATTGTTGTATCAGCACTTGGTGAAGCTTCAGGTTCTCCAGATAAATCTTCTTCCTCTTTATCTTCTGCCTAAAAAAAAAAAAAAAAAAAATCAAGACTAAAAAGGGATTACTATGGAAAAATAGAATAGCACTTAAAAAGGTAACTAGATTTGGGGCAAAATACGGCATCTCCATAGCTTTGTTGGAATTAGTAGTGGTAAGATTTTCATTATGCCGTATCATTGAGTGACTTCAAACTGTAAGGTACACACTAATCCCTGGGGGGATCTTGTAGATTTGACTCAGGTCTAGGGTGAAGCATGAAATCTTTTATTTCTAATAAGCATCTAGGAATTGCTGATGCCACTAGTACTTGGACCACATTTTGAACTATAAGGTTCTAGGGCAGGGAGTGGTAAACTTTTTCTGTAATGGGACAGATAGTAAATAAAATAATTTTATGTGTTGTGGGCCATAAGGTACCTGCTCCAACTACTAAGTTCTGTTGCTGTAACATGTAAACAGCCACAGAAAATATGTGGAAGAATGATCATGGACAGATTTGGCTCAAGACACCTGCTCTAGAGTAACTTGTTATCTATGAAGATATCCATCCTAATTAACAGAAGAATTTTCCTGTGAGAATTAGTCACACAATTTGGAAGAAATGACTGAAGTAACAGAAATAGTTGGAATTCTGTAGTACAAAAATTTTACCTCAATAAAGTTGATAAAAGTTTGAACAAATTTTATATTTACTACTTTAAACATCAATGCAGTATCACTTATCCAGGCACCACAAGGATTACACAAATGTTCATATATTTGAAATGCCCAAGCCCTTAATAAATTACAGTACTTACGGGCATCACTATTTACTGGCATTTTTATAATGCCATTTACTTTTCCAAACAGATGGGTGGAAGTGGCTGAAACCACAGGTTTTAGTGAGTTTGCAAAAGGGGAAGTATACAGAGGAAGAAAAATACAACAACAAAGGCAGAACTGGAGGAAACACCAATCTTAAGGGGATGAGCAGAGGGAAGAGAAGGTAGTAGACAAAGAGACCAAGAAACAGCACCTGGGCAGGAAAAACTAAGAGAGGGGTGGCACAGAAAAGAGCTCAGGCAGGATAACAATGGACTACAGGACAGGAATCTAGCAATTAGGTTGCAAGGAGAACAGTTCTACTAGATATGAGACTGGGACCTGTTAGGTAATGAATGTGAAGTGACGGTACAAAAAAGCTGTACAGAATACTCTTTCAAGAAGAGAATGGGTAGCAAATCAAGGCAAAGCACATAAACACGTATGGCTTAACAGAAACAAGTCACTGAGAAGAAATGAAGAATTCACACTTGATGACCTTCACTTTTTGACACTGAAGGCAATGGTATTGCTAAGACTAAACCGAAATGATTCTGGGGTTTAAGAGAGATTAACTATTTCAAATACACACATATGAAGCTTGGCACATAGATAAGTAAATGTTTCCTAAAGGGGAGTTATGAAAGTACAATAATTCGTAGGGTACTACTCTAAGATACACGGGGTAACCATAAATCAGAACTGACTCAATAGCAACTGGTTTTTATTCTGTTCAGATGAAACAGTAGGTGAAGATGCACGAAACTGTTAATTGAAAAAGTGTATCAACAAAATAGCAAGATTTGCTTAGTTGGAGGCATACTCCATTAAATGTGGATATGTCAAAAGAGGAACAAAATCTTTATACCAGGATAATTATTTTGATATTGAACTAATAGGAAAATAGGGATTTGGCAGTTTAACCTTACATGAAGTGACAAAATCTAGATTCACCGAAGGTTCCAGTTTCCAGTGTGACATAAGAAAAAGAGAAAAAAAGTAAAAATCTGCGTAGGACAGTCAGTCCAGGAGAGGATGCAGGATTCACGAGAAGTATGCTGCAGTGATTCTGGTTCCAGCCCAACATTCCTACTGTCAGGGTATAATTTTTTAATGAAAATTTCAGAGCTGAAAGAATTCTAAGACATCCTTCTCTGACCTTGTAACTCTTCAGGAAACATATTTTATTGTTTGCCCTCATCCCCTGCCACCAAAATACATACACACTGACTGCCTCAAGAATATACACTCTGTAAGAACAGACAAAATATGTTTTGTCCACTCTAGCATCCAGAAAAGTTCCTGAAAGCAGGCATGCAAAAAATATTTGCTTTGTTGAAAGAACGAAAAAGGAAACAGACACAGAGATAAAAACTGCCAGTCAGAAAGCTAAATGCCATGTATCCCAAATCTCTTAACTCACAGTCCAGTGCTATTCCCAGTATATTATCCTCAGACACATGTCCAAATGATTGTGACTTGTTCTTTATTCCACGTCTCCTTCTGTTTCAGAAAATACTTTTGTTCTACCCTCAATTTCAATACACTTTGATCACAGTGATAAGTTTTAAAAGCATGAATTTTAATACCAAATGTTCTTATTAAAGAAATTCCAGATGTATTATATACACTTTGTATGTACTATATATACATACACACACACACACACACACACACACACAGGAGCTCTGGTAGTGTAGTGCCTAAGGCACTTGACTGCTAACCAGAAGGCTGATGGTTCTAATCCACCAGCCACTCCTCAGAAGGAAGGTTGGGCAACCCTACTTCTGTAGTGATACCGCCTCGGAAACCCAAGGAGGGGTCACCATGAGTCAGGTCTGACTCAATGGCAAGTATCAACAACAACAACATGCACTATATATATATATATAACACTGACCAAATCTGTAGGTTCATCTTCTTCCACCTCAGCTTCATCATCTTCATCTTCAATTACTGAATCTTCTACTGTTTCTTCATCCTCTGTAAGATCCTGAGCCACTGCTAACGAACCTAATAAAATGTAAAACAAGCAGTTAACCTTTACCCTGGGAATACTTTTTTAATACCAAGTATAGGTAACAACCACTACTCTTCTGTCAATCTGTCATACTATGGTGGCCTGTGTGTTGCTGGAGGCTATGCCACTGGTATTTCAAATGGGCTGCCCATTGTGGACAGGTGTCAGTGAAGCTTCAGATTAAGACAGACTAGGAAGGAGGACCTGGAGATCGACTTCTGAAAACACTGGCCACTGAAAACTGGCAATTGTCTAATACAGTGCCAGAAGATGAGCCTCCCAGGTTGGAAGGCATACTAAATATGACTGGGAACCAGCTGTCTCCTCAAAACAGAGAATAAGACTTAAAGTGTCAAGTATTTCATTTTACTTAATCACTGCCCAGAGAAGAAGTAGTCAAGAAACTGAATGATTTGCATTGGGCAAATCTGCTGCAGAAGACCTCTTTAAAGTATTAAAAAGCAAAGATGTTACTTTGACTATGGTTCACCTGACCCAAGCCATAGTATTTTCAACTGTCTCATATACATGAGAAAGCTGGACCAAAGAACTGATGCATTTGAATTATGGTGTTGGTGAAGAATACCAAATATACTATGGACTGCCTGAAGAATGAACAAATTCGTCTGTAAGTACAGCTAGACTGCTCCTGAGAAGAGAGCATAGAAAGACTTCATTTCATATATATTATTGTAGGAGGGACTAGTTCCTGGAGAAAGACACAATGCTTGGTAAAATAAAGGGTCAGTGAAAAAGAGGAAGACCCTCAACAAAAAGACTGACAGAGTGGCTACAACAATGGGCTCGGACATACCAACCGTTGTGAAGATGGCATGAGACTGCTTAGATTAAAATGCATCTAAGAATATTCAGAAGGTTTATTTCACTACTAGTATTAACAATCCCACGATAGTTTTAATGACAAATACTATTTAATTTTAAAAAGCACTCAACAGTTTGAAAAATGAACTCCAGAAAGTAAAAATGCCCTTAGGTCCAAAAAAATCTGTAACTTCAAGTAATTAAGGAAAATAAGTTTGTTCCAAAAGTGAGAAAAATCCAAAATTACATCTCTATCACTAACTATATAAAACAAAACAAAACAAAAAAATCTCAAGTCTTAAAGATAATAGCACTGATATCCAGATAAGAAACACCATTATTATTGTTGACTACCACTAAAAGTCTTTGAATTTGATAGCATGTAATTCCAAGGACTGCATCAACAGTAAAAACTAGCTTGCATAAAACATACTGTTCAGTGAAAATGATATTAGTGACTCCAAATTGATATAAGAGAAAGGAAAAATGTATTTACTTTTGCATATGACTTCAAACTTTTTTAAAAGATATTTTATTTCTTCCACACTTAAAATCACAAAGTAGAAGTTAAATATTGCCTGTAATGTCAAGAAACTATATATCAAAATTTTATACTCAAAAGTACTGTATGTAAGTCACATTAAATGTAACTCAGGCAAGATCTTCAAAAGAATTTCAAAGTTCCAGTGAGTCTTCCAACATTTCTCAGAAATGATGATGTGGCAATTCAGTAAAGGGAAAAAAACGTGAGAAAGGAAGCATGTGCATACTCAGGGAAAATACTCATGTTCAATACTCAGGGAAAACAGTATATTGTAAGGAACATGTTTTCCACTTCCTTGAGTTCTTACTGGCCAAGCATTCTGCAAAAATATTAAACAACATTCAACTACGCATTATGAACTGGAAATAAACAAACACCTTCTCTACAGCCTGTTGACCAAAGACTAAAATAGTGCATTACATAATTCATGATAATTTTCAAAAACCAGCAAGAAAAATATCCAGGCTTGACATTAAAACTATTTTATTTAGTAAGAACTTTGTACCTACAAAGTCTAACAACTGTCATCTATGAAACTTAAGAGAAAACATTTTTTTGGAAGACTGTGCCTCACAAACAGTATGTTCACAAAATGTTAGATTCCATTTAGATAATGAATCAATGTCTCTTTAAAAAAGTTTTTGAGACATGAAGAGTCTACATTCTAAAACAAGAACTGTCAAATTTTCTTTACATGGGCGCAAACCAGCAAGCAGCTCCTGAAGGAAAAAGAGTTTTCTCTTTAAACTTGCAAATACATTTATTAGCAGTCACGGCTTATGTCTCACGTGGTTTTCTACCCACTATCTCCCTTTCCTTAACAATATAATTCGTGGATACATGTCACTATCATTCACTTTTGCCATACAGCTTGCTTAAACTTATAGAATTGAGCAGAATTCTAGAGTCATTTAGTTACACATACTTTCACTTTACAGATTAGTAAACCCAAATTCTTATTCCAACTAGGGCAGGAAGCCAAGACTCCAGATTCTCTAGCGTTACTTTCACTTCACACCAGGTTAACTGTTGGAAAGAATAAGCCTACATAAATAAACCTACACAGAAAAACGAACTTAAATCTCGAAGATGGACTACTTTTTTTTTTCAACGCAATACGATGTTCTCCCAAACAAACGACAGCTGGAGAAAAAGGGGGGCAGAAGTAATAGGGAGCTATCCTACAGGAGTGGCAGTAGGAACGAACACGGAGGTGAGGATGGGGAGTTTTTCTGGAAATCAAAACTACAGGTAACACACAGGGACTGGGGTGCTCATAAAGAAGGTAGTCCACCGGAATAAAATATTAGCTGTAACAGTTTTGGTGAGCAAATAACAAGGGCTTCAGTAAATGAATGAAGGACTGATAGCGTAGTCACTAACGACACGTCAGCCCAGAGAGCGAGAGAATGGGGGTGGAGCGCGCAGGCGGCGGCCAGAGTAGTAAAACTGGGTGCCCACGCTCCGCGCAGCCCCACCGCGCCCAGCCCCTCGTCCCCTCCTCAAACCTAAGGTCACCAGCTCCAGACACACCAGCAGGGTGCCGTCGGGACCTAGGGGTAAGGTCGCCAAGCAATGTCCACCACACTCCGCGGGGTAGCGGGAGGAGATACCCGCCAGGGCTCAGTCAGAGCGCTAGGGCCCTTGCTACAAGCCGGGAATGGGGCAGAAAATGGACAGAGGTGGGGGAGATGGGCGCCGGACCGCGGGAACCGTGGCTGTTCCCAACTACAAAGTTGCAGTCACTAGCGTCTCCTTCTCGGCCAAGCCTCCCCATCCACTGCCCTCGCCTCACCTCCAGGGCCGCCTCTGAGTACAAGCGTAGCGGGGAACACGAGCAGGAGAAGCAGAAGCAGGCGGGGGAGGAGTCTCATGGTGCGACCGGCCAGTGTCCAGTCGCCGTCCGCGAGTGCTCTCAGGCTCCGGTGGTAATGGCGTTACTCTTCATCCGGGCCCTGGGCGGGAAGGGCGGAGCACGCACCACGCTCCGGTCTTCGCTGCAGCCCGCCCCTGACCGAGCAACTCCGCCAACGTGGCTCCTCCGCTCAGGGGGCGGAAGCTGGGCGCTGCGGGGAAGTCACATGGCTAGCGGCCGGAGCCTTTTGAATTCCCGCGAGAGCCCGACTCCCACCTGGATCGCGAGTTCAGCGGTGTGATATGGCTTTGCCCCGCCCTTCCTGGAGGCGAGCTTGAAGCTGGCGGGCTGCCAAATTAGCGTTTTCAGTCGAGAGTTTATTTGAATTGGTGGGCTGCCGTGCTTGGCCTAATAAAGCCTTTTATAAGTTTAAATAGTGATGTAAAGAAAAGGACCATAAACTACCCACAGATGGCGTTTAAAAGCAAAAGAATATTTGTTTAGTAGTAATATTGTTAAAACACACATACGTAAAAACTACAGTGGAAAAAAAAATCTTTGTCCCCTATTTGCCCACACCCTCCTTCACAGTTAAGTAATCACAGTTTTTTATTTCTTATGTGACATTCCGAGTTTCATGGAGGAAGAAATGCCTTGACTCATGTAATCATCTAGAACAGGGCTTGGCATGTTGGAAGCATTAGGTAAATACATAGTGCAGGTAGCAATAGTTGTACAATTTCCTTTAGTTCCTTATCGGCTATTCTCGATTCTGTTTGGGTTGCCAGTAGTAATCTGGTATTTCATGCAATTAAACAATCTGAATGCCAGTTATTATTGGACTGGACCAATGTAAGATGTCATAGAATTCTTTGACGTGACCTGATGGCTGATAGGACTCCCTGAGGGGCGTCCTCCGCTCCTGCTGCCGCTGCTCCTGGGCACTGCTACCAAAGCTGCCATACTGTGCCAAAGCTCCAGGACTGCAGATGCCTCTCTGATGTGCCAAGTCTCTACTGACAGAGGAATGAAGCTCCCTCTAAGTTTGAGACATTTTGTTTCATGAGTTTCAAATAAGAGCTGCCTTAAGCTGGGAAAGAGCTCTGGTAGCAAAGTGCTTAAGGCATGTGACAGCTAACAAGAAGGCTGGTGGTTCAAACCCACCAGCCACTCCTGGAAAGGAAGGTTGGGCAATCTACTTCAGTAGTGATACCGCCTGGGAAACCCAAGGAGGGGTCGCTGTGAGTGGGATCCGACTCCACGGCAGTCGTTATGTTGTTTTGTTTGTGTTAAGTTTCTGATGTGACTTTTTTTTTTTTTTTTTTAACTAACGCCTCCTTTTATTTAACTTGGCATCTCTCTCCTAGCACCAGAAAGAAACTGACGGGGACTGGAACAGAATTTATGGGCATTATACTGCACTCAAAATCACTTCTCCCTTTATTAAGGAACTGTCATCAGACGAATGTTGAGTCACTGTCTCTTTTCCCTTCAGAGGACTGATATCCTGGAAGGGGCGCGGGGTGTGTGTGTCTCCCCATTCCTTATATTAAAAAATTCCTAGTAGGTCTGTTTCCAGTTCCTGGGACATAACCCGACTCTGAGGATAATCCAGTTTAGACTTAAACTGGGACTTCTACTCCAGTTATGTTACCAAATGATTATTAGTGGATTTTATTTGAGACTTGCATTTTAGACAACCAGTTATTGAAAGTGCAGCAGGGTCAAGTAATGTACCTCTACTCTGGATGTTAGGAGCTCTGGTAGCATAGTGCCTAAGGCACTTGACTGCTAACTAGAAGGCTGGCGATTCAAACCCATCAGCCACTCCTCGGAAGGAAAGTTGGGCAATCCTACTTCTGCAGTGATACTGCCTCAGAAACCCAAGGCTATGAGTCGGGCTGACTCGACAGCACATAACAACAACTCTGGATGTTAATGATGTGATGAGTTTAGGAAAAAAACGATACAAATAAAACAGAGACCAACGACGGTCCCATTACTACAAAAGACAGAATCAGGGAAGACAGACATTCCCCTATCTCAGGGCTCACTAATATTGCGTTGCTGGGATCCACATTCTCTTATAATATGCCATTTTCCTTGGTGCGCACCCAGAGGGCTCCCCTTAGTTGCTTCCACTCCTTAATTTATGGAATTAAGACTTCCATCTACTAATGTTAGTTTAGGAGTCCCTGAGTGGTGCAAATGGTTAAGCACTCAACTCAAAACCAAAAATTGGTGGTTTGAACCCATCCAGGGGCACAGCAGAAGAATGGGCTGGCGATCTGCTTTCAGAAGGTCACAGCACTGAAAATTCTATGAAGCAGTTTTATTCTGCACACATGAGGTTACTATGAATGAGAAGCAACTCTATGGCAACAACAACAACATTATTTTAAGCCCTCCCACTATTTACCCCATTCTCATTCTAACCTCTGCTACTTAGCTCTTTGAAGATGTTTGTTTTCCAGGAATAGACCACACCCCAGTTATGTTTGTTCTTACAGCCCAGGCAAATTCTCAGTTAACTCTCCGTGTCGGTTACATTTTTTATCCTGCAGAATTTATAAGAGCAGAGACTTCTTTACCTTAGATTACTTAAGATTTCCCTTAGCACCATTAGCAAATGTGTTTATTGTATTCCCCCAGAGAGCTACATGACTAATAAACTCCTTCATCACCCTTACACTTTTGCTCAGCCATTACCTTCTCAGTGAGGTGATGACCACCAAATTTAAAATTACAACCCTCCTGTCCTGACTCTCTTGATTCCCCTCTCTTTCTATTCTCTTTTTCTTCATAGCACTTATGGCTTACTTTTTCTTTAATTGTTGAAAATACACACAGCAAAGCATACACCAATTCAACAAATTCTACATGTACAATTCAGTAACATAGATTACATTCCTCAGGTTGTGCAAACTCCTTTTCTAAACTATTAACATAATCCCCATTAACATGATTTTACTGCCCCCTAAACTTCCTATCCCCATTAACATGATTTTACTGCCCCCTAAACTTCCTATTTGACCTTTTAAGTTGCTGTTGTCCATTTGATCCCATATGACCGTTCTTTAAAAGAGAACAATATTGCACTTAGGACTTCCTAATACAATATATAGATTATGTCTCCTGTCTGTAACATCTTGAGACCAGGGAATCTTTGGGTCTTAGATTATTCGATGATATAGAACAGTGCTACACCAAGTAAAACCTCAGTAAGTATTTGTTGAATGAATGAAGGTGCAATATTGTTACATCTTTCCTGCACAAATTTTTTTAAAACATTTTATTGTGGTTTTGGTACAAGTTCACAGAACAAATCAGTTACTCAATCCACAATTTAAATGCATTTTGTTTCGTGACATTAGTTCCAATCTTCTCAATGTAACAGCATTCCTTCAACTTCCTCCCTGGGTTTCCCATTTCCATCTGCCCATCTTTCCTGTCCCTTCCTGCTTTCTGAATTTTGTTTTTGGGCAAATGTCTTTTGTTCTCATATATATAGTTGATTATTCTGAGAAGCATGTTCCTCATGGGTATTATTGTTCACTTTATAGGCTTGTCTGTTGTTTGGCTGAAAGGTGATCTACAGGAGTGGGTTCAGTTCTGGGATTGAAGGGTGTCTAAGGGCCATAGTCTTGGGGGTTCCACCAGTCTCTATCAGACTGGTAAATGTGCTCTTTTTATGATTTTGAATTTTGTTCTACATTTTTCTCCCACTCTATCCAGGACCTTCTATTGTGATCCTGATCAGAGTGGTAGGTAGTGGTAGCCGGGCATCATCTGGTTTTTCTGGTTTCAGGTAAATGGAGGCTGTGGTCATGTGATCCATTAGTTCTTTGCATGAATTATTTCCTTGAGTCTTTTATTTTCTTCACTTTTCTTTGCTCTGTGTTCTAGTTACCCAGTGCCACTCAGACAAGAATATACCACAAATAGGATGGCCTTAACAGTTTATTCTCTTACAGTTTGGAGGCTTTAAGTCCAAGTTCAAAGTGCCAGGCTCTAGGGGCTGGGTGAAAGCCCCTCAACCTTGGGGTCCATCTCTGCCTCCTGCTCCTGGCCCACTGGAGGTAGAGGCGTTTATTCACTCAGACAGCTGCTGGCTGCTGAGGCTGAAAAACCCAAGGTTGACAAGTAAAAAGGCCCAGTCCCGATATTACCAAACCACATAGCAGGCAAGTAATTCAAGTCCACTGTAAGTCCCAAGGTTGGCAGAGCATGGCAAGCTGCTGAGCAATGACACAGATACATGCAGGGTCCAAGCGTGATGCAAACTAGAGACCATCCCCCAAGGCTTCTCCTTATATGCAGGAAGCAGACCACATCCCATAGGCAGCTACTCAGCTGCTTGTGGTAGATCCCACCATGGAGTTGATTGCCAGTCTCATCATGGGGATAAAACTACATAACTACATCCAGCTGCCCAGCCACTCAACCAGGCCCAGCCAAGCTGACACACAAACATAACCACCACACTCTGGATAGTGAGAGACCAATAGTTGTATCTTAGATGGCCACTCACAAGCTTAAGATCTCAGTTGCTATTCACCAAAGTAGGATGCAGAACGTTGTCTTTATGGACTATGTTATAAGATGTCCCTGGAGACTATGGTCTTAAGCCCTCAAGCCTAGTGACTCATTCCCTCAGGGTGTTTGGTTATGGCTAAGATGTTCTCATAACTTTGCTCCTGTATTCTCTACTGTATAACATGTGTATATTTGCAGCATGTACAAATATGTATGTAGAAATCCTCTGCCAAACTTATATATGCTTGTGGATGTACTCGTATGTGCCATTCCACAGCTGTTCAGCATACAGACTACCTATTTATTAACTTGTCAATTATTGTTTGTTATTACTGTTATTGCAGGATTGTGTATGTAGTCCTATTTTTACTGTTGTTGCCTTTTACTCTTGCATACCTCCCAATGTCTTCCTTGGCCTTGGTCATGTTGTGCTGACCACCTTCTTATTGTATATTACTTTTCCCAGTTTAATACATATCTACCAACTCTCACTGCTGTTGAGTCGGGTCTGACTCATAGCGACCCCTCTTTGGGTTCCTGAGGCGGTATCACTACAGAAGTAG